TCTAGTCGTTTCACCTCTAACAGAGTTGACGTGATCTAGGGTATCAGACCTTTAAACATAAATTTTTATTTTGAAATATTTTAAAACATTTTTGATCACCCAAAGAATGATAATCGGCCGTAATTGATTAATAACTGCTGATCTAAACAACGGATGAAGGTTGGTAAAAGATGTTGTCAACTAAATAAAATAAGAAAAATATTTTTGCTATTTCGTAACTAAATCGTTTTTCTTTATATGAATTTAAACCTTATATTGCTTTCTATCATTCCGTCAAGTAACAAATAAAGAATTCATTTATCCTTGACAATTCAATTCTCAAATCATCTTATCAATTCACTTAAAAATTGATTCGTAAAATAACAAATCAATAAATAACACCACTTATTGTATGTATTAGTTATACGTTAGAACTTATGTGAATGTAATGCTATGTATATATTTGCTTCGAAGAAAAGGTGAAAACTTCGAAAAAATTAATATATGTGAAAATAAACTTCAGGTCGTCTTAATACTAACTCTCTAACACTCAACATATAAGTTGTCAAGTGAGACGATGAAATCACTTAAGAAGTTAAATATTTACCCTGAAATCAAGCATTCTTTTCGGCGCACTAATAAAATTCCAAACACACATAGCTCACCTACTTGGTGCTCTAAGAATAAGAATTAAAATTGCTATTTTCTATTCCACTTAGCGTACTAAAAGAATGAATTCTCGACACTCTAGCAGATTCATCTCATCTCTAAAGTTTTAAATAGCTTTTTATTTATTTTTAGTTAAGTTTTAGCTTTAATTAAGTCCGCCATTGTATAATGAATTTGTTGTTTGTGCAAAAAGTATTAAATAAAAAATAAAAAAATAAGATCAAACAAGTGGGTAACAAAAGTAACCTTTGATTAGATCAAGAAAATGTTTCATATATTTTAAGTTTATGCCACTAAATTATTTAGTTTTTTTAAATAAAATTACATATTAAACATTCACTGTAAAAAATAAATAAAAAAGTTAAACAATAATATTTTATATTTCAAACTTTGCTTGTTTATACGTTGTTGTGGTGATTTAAAAGCTGTTCTGTAACAGCGGAATAGTGTGTAACTCATATTTTTGTCGAAGAAAATATATACCTATTTCATTTTTATCGCTAGACCCTCTCGTTTTCAACAAATCACTTGGGCTTATCGACCTCTAATTTAAGAATATGGAGGAAACAGAGTAGGTAAAGGATACACTTTATTGTCTAGGAAAAAAAGGTTTAGCATTAAAATGTGAAAAGAAAACGTATCTGTGTGAATTATTACTCAAATCGCCGAAGAACGCAAATGCACAAAAACACGTTCTTTCGTTTTATTCTTCAGCGAGCTCTACAAGATTATTGAAGTCATGATGAGAGATAAAATCTTTTTTAAAATCTCTCTGTAAATCTATTTTAAAATCATAATAATATGAAAGGAGTACAGGATATTACATTTTAATATCTCTCACTCTCATAAAAGTCGTTCACAAAACTAATAAATATTAATGCTCACCGATATCGAAATTGTCGGTTTAAACTACTGTCGATAAGACATAGAAGAAAACTTACCGAGTAGTATGATCTCCAGTTGTTGTTACTTTTTGCAGATAAACAATGAAAGTGTATAATATCAGAGCAGAAAAGGAGCCGTGTGGGCTTCATGCATGCTTACGGCATGCTATGAGGCTCAGTCGATGGACCGGGTATTTTCCCGTTCAGGGTCTTGGCCAGCGGTCTACTGATGAAATTAAGTTTGTATACCATTGCATTGTATAACGTTTTAACTTAGACTAACATGATAATTCATGTTAGTCTAAGTATTATATCTACAAGAACATCTACCACAAATTGACTAACAAATTTATTTCGATCTTAGCATTAGCATCTTGCTTCTTATTTTTAAACTGAATAATATTATAGAATGTTCTCTAACATATTAGACTTCGCTATTTTAGCTGAACTAATCACGACTTATACGCACATATACAAGCATGTGACGATTTCGATATATAATGAAACAAAAACATATCCTCCCTTTGTGTTTGAGGGACGTAAAACCTTTTCCTCCACAAGCATACAAATATTCGCACTTAACAGAAATGAAATCCGTAATCTCAGAATAAGATTGAAACAAACATAGTTAGTAAACATTATGCGGTCTTACTTCAGGAATGTACTACAAATTTGAACCTGACGGGGACTCTATTTCAAGGAACTTTAATTAATAGGAATATACCAGTCACGAATGTTTACATTGTAGGATCGATACTTTTAATTTCTTACAGATTCAATGTGAAGTGTCTCTACAGTATTTATCACGTCGCTACTTTTATCGGGCAGATGTTCATGACTTGTTTTAGTCTGATACACTTTTTTGATGGTGATGTTTCCTTGACCTCCATAAGTAAGTATGAAAAAGTTTATATACAAAATAGTTTTTATAAGCAATATAGAAAGCACCACAAAATGAAGTGTTGCTCTAAGCCGTTTTACTACGTGTTATATACGAGTATTGTGACGTTTTGGTTTTGCCACTTACAGTTAACAGTAATCTTCACTGTCAAAATTTTGATCTACTTAATATTTTATATATAAACACACGATTGTTAAATATTTTAGGATAAAAATACTCTTTATTTCTTTGATATGTGCACAGTAGGTAAATAGTTAACAAGTAGTTCATTAAACAGTAAATATATTGCATTTTAGGCGCGTTATGCTAGTACGAGCACACAACAAGAGCAAGTATAATTTATAATACATTGAATAAGTAAATAAATTATATATTAAAATTTAACTTATATAATCCGGATTGAGAATACAGAGTCGACTAAGGGAGCAAACTACGCAGGGCCTTAGCTTTGAAAAGAGCAGAAAAACCAGAAACAAACCTTATACCAACCCGTCTGGCCAGTGTTGTATAGAAGGCCAAAACCTCCTTTTGTAAGGAGAGTCTTATATTCAGCAGTGGAATATTAAAGGCTGTTGATGAAGCTGATGATGAACTTACACAAAATGATACCAATTCAGAATTTGATGAATCTAATAAGGTCCAATAAATACTTAAACAAAGCTGGACAGGTACTTAATACGACCTGTCTCTTTAACGTACCGTTAAAATACGTACGAAATCTGCACTCTGCAATACATTTACACGTATCTATACCATTTTAAAGGACTTTGACAGATTAACAGTTTTAGGTATGAACTTACTATAACAAATCAATTTCAGATACAAATGAAAGATGGAAAATTTTAAAATCTATAATCATCATCATCATCATCATCAGCCTATCGCAGTCCACTGCTGGACATAGGCCTCTCCCATTGCACGCCACTTAGATCGATTTTGACCTTCTCGCATCCAGCTCCTGCCAGCTATCTTGCGCAAATCCTTTATTAATAACCACGTACTACTACCTGTAGCTATATACACGTAAATTAAAATCCAATTGTGGCCGCCAATAACGTTATTTTGCTTTCATGTTAATCCTTTTAAGATCCTTTTATGAGAATTTAATTTCGAATATGTTAATTTTTTTTGTTTGTATAGATAAATATTTTTAACCGAACTTAATGACGTTAAATTCAAAAACATTAGTCGTACATGTAAACTTTTATTTCAAAAATCTTGCTTTTGAAACAAACTTTTTAAACTATATTTCTGTGGTTTGTATTATATTTGCTATAAAACTTTGCGAAATCTATAGTATATTTTCAATTTAAGCCTGTTGTTTAGTATATTACGAGTATTTTATGTTCTCTCTTCAACTTGTTTAGCTGATGTCGTGTTCTACTTAACAAGTTTTATTGGGGCCATACTTTTCATACGACTGGCGCAACACTGGCCAAGATTAATGAAGGCAGCCGAAGAAACCGAACGAAGTTTAATTATGTTGAAATTGGACAGCCGAACCATTACGAAATCAACGTTGATTGCTTACGTGATAATGGCATTAGCTTTAGGTAAGGAGTAAATTGTTAAACATTTAATTTCATTAATATCATCTTCATGCCCTTCGATCAATTTGATTTGAGATCTGCGCAATGTGTAATATTGCAAAGGATTTTGACTGGTATATTATATCCGGTCAACTGTCTAATACCCATTTTCCTGGGGAGATGTAATCGTTATCAGACGAGAGAAAAGGAATGAGATAAACTGTACGTGCAGTTTAAGCGGTTGCCACGGCGCTTAGTACTACGCTGAGTACTGTGGGTTCGAACCCCACATGGGACGATACTTTGTGTGATCCACAATTTTTTGTTCTGAGTCTGGATGTCCTTTGTGTCCGTTTCATGTATGTTTGTAATGTCCCTCGCACACAGGATATATTCCTAGTTGATTATTTTTTGAAAAAAGGTAGAGATAAATGCTCTTGTATGTATACGTTGTTATATTTATATTATTTCACTGCCTTTTCTCATTTCTCCTCTTTTATTTCTGTGCGCGTCAGTATTTCTTAATATTTAGTTCTTTTTATTTTCACTTTAAAATTCTTAACCAAAGTATAGTGACCTTTTCATTCATTTCCACACTAGCATTTTTTTTTTCACGGTAGACTGGTAGAGAATGCTTGTGGCATTAAGTTTGCATTGTACTTTTTGTCCATAAAGTTATTAAATAAATTAAACCAATAATACCATCGTATAGGGAACTAGTATAATAATTGAAGAAATACTCGTACATGCATGTGTATATTTGTTTCTTTGTTATATTTTTACGCTCTAATTACTCAACCGAGCACTATAACCGATATCAAGGCTATACAAGAGAACATGGAGTACCTATATTTTTTGCTAGAGAACAAAGACGCAGAAAAATGAAGAGATAAAAACAATGAATATCATCCATTTGGATAATAGTGCGGAATACGGTGTGGAAACGCGGTGCGGATACGGTGTGGAAACGGATTAATAAAAACATTTTATTTTGCAGTGGAACACCTACTTTGCACAAATTTTAACGTTAAATACATAATGGAATGTCTACACGAACCAATAATAGACAATAAAGTGCTTGCTAACTACGTGTTAAGGAGAATGCCTTACATTTTTAATTACATATCTTACTCTGTTTTCAGTGCGGCTTTGACTGAGGTAATTAGCTCAAGAGCCACTATTATTTATATTTAAAAATTATCAGAGTTGAAATTGCGTCCGAATTGGGTCCGAGTGGAGGTCATCCTCCCGGGTCCTCTCTGCCGCCTCCTTCTGCGAGATGACAGAAGGATGCGACCGCGGTAAAACATCTGTCACTACTGCCCATGGAGCGTATGACTGCCGGTAGCGAGAGGTCCCCTCCGATGACCTCAATGAGGACCCGGCGCTACGACGCCCAAGCCGGGCAAATTGCTACTCCGACCGATGTCTGCCTCAACCTTTATCGAGTGACTTTAATTGATATGCATTGTAGACTTTGTAAAACTAAATGCTTCTGTTAGGAATGGAGTTATGTAGCTAGTATACGGGATTGGGTTCAAACCCCATTTCACTTGATCACAAATCCGACGTCTTAGCCGTTACCCTACGCTACTACGGAATTGATGAGATTCTTAAGATCTGTTTCGTTTTATATTTTATCTTTCTCTATTTATACGTAATTATGTGTCTCTTTCTGAAAATTTATTGATGTCTCTTTCTAGGTCTTATGTATGCAAGCCACATTCATCTGGAGTTTCACGGATGTTCTGACAATTTGTTTTAGCGTATATATCACGTCCTATTTTCACACTCTCAACAAAGCTATTTATTCAAAAAAGAGAAACGTAAGTAAATTAAATATAAAAAATAATAATACTGGATGGCATGCTATTCCATAAATAAGTCTTACCTCTGCATCTACGCTGTAAAGGGAATGAAAAAAGGAGGAAAAAATCTCATTTTTAAGGTGAGGCCTATGTCCGGCAGTGGACTAGTAAAGGTTGTTGATGACTAATACATTTATCTATTACCAGCTTTTGCCAGCTGCTATGTCATTTATCGGGGTAAAAAGTAACCTATGTTACTCGCTGATAATGTAGCTTTCCGTTGGTATAAGAAATTTTAAAATCGGTTTATTGGTTTAGGCACGAAAGCGTAATACACAAACAAATAAACTCACTTTCACATTTAAAATATAAACATGGATGAACCCAATATCATCATAAAAAATTACTATCGCCGACGAAGTGTATTAACATCTGTATTTTTTTTCAGAATAATGTGACGTGGGGTCAACTCCGTGATCACTATTCAAAACTAGCAGTGCTCGTTAAGGAAATAGATGAGCAGCTGAGCAGTTTCATTCTTTTATCATTCTTCACGGACTTGTTTTTCATTTGTGTACAGTTATATAATTCATTACAGTAATTACTTTGATCTGTATAATTCTCTTGTTACATTACTCTCTGCGGTTTCACTTATATTTCTTCAAAGGCTGGTTTAAAAATAGTAACATGTGTCATTATTCATTTGAATGCTTAAATATATGTAATACTTTAGTATTGACTGCACGGATGACGTAGTGGTTTAAGCGGTCGCCACGCCACTTAGTGTTGTGGGATCGATCCCCACATGGGACGACACTTTGTGTGATCCACATATTGTTGTTCTGAGTCTGGGTGTTCTTTGTGTCCGTTTCATGTATGTTTGTAAAGTCCCCCGCGACACAGGATATATTCCTAATTCGGGAGTTGTCTTTTTTAAAAACAAAAAACAAATGTACTTGCAGACTCATAAAACTATTCAAAAATGTATCACGACTTCAAAAGTTCATTTCCTTATTTTCTACTATTAAAATGAAACATGATCAATTTTAATAAGACCAATTACGAGCAGTACTTTTTTTAATTTAAAACGATTCGTGAATGCCGAAGAAATCACGTAACATACACAAAAAATATATTCAGGTGAATTGTGAATATTGAACATATTATTTTGTGTTATAGCCGGAATCATGCCAGTTTTAAGAATTGTGGTGAGGAAGAAACAAAGAGGTATGTATGTACGGTACATATAGTACGGTAAACACAAAAACCATTTTAGATATTTAATTAAAGATAGTAATATATATATTCTACTTCAGTCCATGTGGTGACGGATTAAGAATACGTAATGTCACCACCCCTATTCATCCCGTGGGTGTCGTAAGAGCCGACTAAGGAAGCAAACTACGCAGCACAACAGCACTGCAAAGAGAAGGAAAACTTGAAACAAACCCTGTACCAACCCGTCTGGCCAACGTGGTGTAGTAGGCCAAAACCTCATTTTTAAGGAGATGCCTATGTCCAGCAGTGAACTGTTATAGGCTGTTGATGATGATGATATTCTAATAATAATTGATTCAGTTGTCATCGGTTCTGTTTTATTATATTCCAGGGTTCTGTCGTCACCGGATTACCTGCTTTACTATCTCTATTCCTTCTTATTTTTGGTGCTACGAGCTCTATTTATGTCTTTATTTGCCGCCAACGTATATACAGCTGCTCAAGAGCCAATATTCTCTATATATGATGTATCAACTTCAGAGTATGATCAGGAGGTACGACAATCCAAAGTAAGCTTTCGCCTTGCGGTCAAATAGGGGTTTAGTCCCCAGTTTAGTTAAAGAACATTATTAAAATTTAACTGAATATGCATCGGCGATTAAAGCAGTTCAATATTAATTTTGTATCTTTGGCAGCTTTCATTGTTTTTGCTTTTATATATTTAATTTCAGGTGGAGAGATTCCAATCACAGCTTCGTTTCACGCAAATAGGGTTGACAGGAATATTATTTTGTGTGACTAGAAACACGATATTACACGTAAGTAAATCATTTGTATCATGTGAGCTAACCCTTCTATAATTAAGTCATTCTAGCCATCTCCATTACATTATCCCAGCAGGAATCTCGTATCAGATTAGTTAGTTGTTCATGGTGGAAAGCAATTTAATGGTTTGTCTAGAAACTGAAGTATAAACACATGTATATGATAACATGTCGTACGAGTTTCAGTAGTAACGACGTAGTTTAACTGGTTTTCGTTAGATGGCGTTAAAGTACTTTTTTTAATGTACGTGATTGTGTCAAACCACAACACGTATGTTCACCTACGCGTATTCCAAAGGCCGTCGTTTTTCAGTAGACGTTGACAGTCTAATCGCTACGTGTTTATTTGCTAAGTTATATGTAAATGCAATTTGAAATACCATTTGTACGAATAAAAAATACGAAATAAAGAAAATATTTAGTTAGTTTAGTCAGTTTTATGTTATGGTACACAGTAATTTTTTTATATAATTACATAGTTTTGGCTGATTCAATGTTAGAAAATAAATTTTGATGTTTATTTTTCAGGCCATTGGTACTATACTAACTTACGAACTAGTGCTTCTGCAGTTCAGCATATCGCCAGATAATGTTACCTACTCGGGAGCAATCAATAATAATAATAGTACGATTGGTGTTAATTAATTATAAGAAGAATAAAAAAAAAGGTTTTCAGCTTTTATATTTCATATATATTTATATATTCAATATATAGTAGCATTAATGAAATGAATTGTGAAAATAAATAAACTTAATTATTTATCTCTTTCATTTGAATAAATTACAACAAGCAGTCAGTCAATAAATTACTAATATGACTGCTCAATAAATGACTGCACGGATGGCGTAGTGGTTAAAGCGGTCGCCACGCCGCTCACTACTACGCTGAGTGTTGTGGGTCAGATCCCCAATTGAGACGACACTTTGTATGTTCCACAAATTGTTGTTCTGATCCGTCTGGGTGTTCTTTATGTTCGTTTCATGTATGTTTGTAAAGTCATAGGTATATTCCTACGGCGGGAGTTGTCTATTAATAAATAAAAAGTTTGCGGGTTTTGTCTCTCACAGCGATCTTTTATGGACAAATTTTGTACGGATATTATGTCGTCTAGTTCTATCTATATATTTTATCTAAATTAAAAATACAATCTAATAAATAACAAAACCCAAGCTATAAATGAAATGTATTTTATAATTAATATTTTTAATGAGGTTTAGTTTTTTTTAATTAATCTGTTTTTCTACATAATAGTAGCTCAAATTACTTCTTATAACATTAGTTATATGCCTATGAAACTCAATAACAACGTTTCAGAGAAAAATCGTTTTTTTTTCATATTCTAGTTCACATAAGCTCCGAAGGCACTTCTACATAGACAGTATGAACTAACTTTTATTTTTCTTCAAGTCTAATTTTATCCTGTAAAGAATTACATAGAAAGCATCTTAACTACATTTTTACGTGACTCTTGTAAATTATACATTGTATTTTATTGAACTTGATTTGTTGCTGTTACGATGCAATTTCTGGATCAACTTGTTTTAAGTGAGTATATTTTATGAGTCACTGACTTTTACAGTGACGTTTTTATGAGTACATGAGTAAGTAGAGCCATGTTTCTTCACATATGGGCAGTCACGACCGGATTGATAACATGGCCCCATAGAAAATTGGCGTTAGCAATTCTTTCTTTGCATTTCAACTAGTGAGTGATGTTACAGGAGGATTTACGGAGGAGGTTAGGGAAGGAGCAACTGCGCTCTGTAAAGAACAAGAGCAGGTAAATCAAGTTCCTTTTGCCACACTTACCTTAAACTTCTGTAACATTAGGGGTTTACACTCTAACGTAGATCAACGGCGGCTACATCTTGGGGTGATGTGGTCGCTGCAAACGACCCGAGACAGGTGACACTCCAGTATGGCCGGGGAGTGTCGTCTGAGGCGGGGCGCTGCTGCGCCTTTTACTGTGTAGAGCGGTGAGAGACGCGGCAGCGTCCCGACCTGGGAGTGATAATGGTCACCCTGGGATGTGCCTCAATCGTGGGGTACGGCAGGGAGGACTCTAGAAGCCGCCGATGCTATTGCCGGGATAGGCCGCCTCGGGATTTAGTGGGTAGACCGGTTTTCCGGGAGATTCACACTCGTCCTCCGTTTACCCAACACAGAGTATGTAAAAAAAGGACAGTGAAGGGGCCTTTGCCCTTATAAAAGACCGATATCGTGTATAGCAGACACTCCTTTATTACTATAACTGGTGTAAATGCGTACGTTGGAGATGTAATGTAGTTTTCGGCACTTCGTCAATAACCTTATCCGCAGAGATTCCATCGAGTCAAATTGCCTTATGAATAGGTTTAGAATTAATTAAAATAAATTTGACATAAAATTAATTATTGAATTAGAAGCGTCGCGCATCGAGTCGTTAAAAAATAAAGAAAAATTAATTTTATAAGGTTTGATTTTTTTCCTGAAGGAGTAATAAAAATCCACCCATCCATATAACCTTTGATGTTTATAAGTTTATATTATGTAGAGTATAGTCTAATATTCAGTTTAAAGTTTTTTTTACTTTTATTAAAATATAGGTACAATGTATTTTGAAATAACTAAAAAAATATAACAAACAAAAAACATTTATTTCAAAGATGTTTTTTATATTATTTTAAGCTATGAAAATAGTTGGATATATCAAGAAGTATTTTTATACCAACTAAGGTTAGAGATCAAATAATATTTTTCATCATAAACCTTTTTTAAAATGTCGTTGTAGTGGTATTATTGGCTACGTCATCTTCGGTATATGTCTTGCTAAACTGCAGTAGTACCAATTCATACGTAACTATTGTGCTTATTACCTGAAACAATATAATATTATACATACCTATTATTTATATAATTAATTTATTACTATTATTACTAATAATTATACAATGTGCACATACCTGTAATATCGTATTTCGAGTGACGTAGAAAAACTTTCCACTAAACGCTACTGTTGTGTAACGAAGTATTAATTGGAATCTTAACACCTGAAATACATAGTAATTAAACTAGCAAATAAAACTCATTGCTACTATCTAATTATTTACTTTTAAATATTTAATTGTAATTAAAAATAAAAATAAAATTACGAATCATAAAATAGTAGTAAACTAACGAATTAATGTAACATTCACTTTAATAAAGACGTTTAAATTATTTATTGACGGTCGGATGGCGTAGAGGTTTGTGTAATGAACTGCTACGATAGATCCGATACTGCCACTTTCATGCATTTGTTTAATACTTTTAAAATCTGAACAAAATGATTTTTACCCGTATATTAATAAACTCTATGTTCTCATATAAATACAACAAAGAGTATTTTATTTCTTTGTTGTGTACTGAAAACTGTCGTGTATTATTGAGAAAAGTCACTGCCTGACTGTCTGTGTATACTTAAAATTTACAAACTGGCGATTTCAATTTTTATAAGTTTCATATGAGTACCTAATGTGACTCATACAATTAAAACGAATTTAACGATACCTCAAACGTCTAAATCCATGAGACCGTTAGGCTACACAGCGTGCCAAAGGAAAATACATACAGACATACACTCGAAAAGCAAAACCCTACTTCTGGCCAGTCGCATAGAAAAACAAGATACAAAGGATTCCTAGCCTAGCTTACGATTACACTCATACCTCCTGGTCATATTCTTCAGGCTGTACGCTGTATACCGGAATTATCGGCTTTTGCGCAGTGTTGTGAACGTTGGCCCCAAACAAGGACAGCAATACAAATCTTGTTATGACGAACACGAAGGACGTGTAGTAGGACAGGATAAAATCTGGAGTTGCCAGTATACTATGTGACAAAAATAACTTAAATTAGGTTCTTAAAATACTAACATTTACGAGAATATTCGTCACCTTTTATGCAGGTTTAGTGAAAGAATTTATAAAAGTATCATAAAGAAGTACTACTCCAAAGTACATTCCTCAAAATACTCTAACTCATAAAATATACTACTTACATAATATATATCCCTTTTTGTACCTTTAACAACAACAACAACTCTTAACAACAGCCTTTAATGGTCCACTGCTGGACATAGTCCTTTCCTTATAAAGGAGGTTTTGGCTTATTATACAACGCTGGCCAGAAGGGTTGGTATAGAGTTTTTTTCAAGTTTTCCTTCTCTTTGCAGTGCTGTTGTCCTGCGTAGATTGCTCCCTTAGTCGCCTCTTACGACACCCACGGGATTAATAGGGATAGTGAGACTTGGTATTATTAATCCTCACCTTTAACAACGTGAATACAAAATTTGAAGATGATCACTTAATTCGTTAAGAAGCAAGTAGTCACTAGTTTTTTAACTTCTATTTTGTTTACAAATCGAGTACTTAAATAGGTATGACTCGGTTTCGATCTCCTGCGACTATTTGAAATTCGGTACTGACTGTATTGTATCATCATCATCAACGGCCTTTAATAGTCCACTGCTGGAAATAGGCCCCTCATTGTATATACTCATATGTATTCATTGTATATAGGTTATATACTTTCGAGGTACTTACTTAACTTTTCAATCCCGAGGGTTTTTGAGGCGCCGACTAAGAGAGCAAACTACGCAGGACAACAGCACTTCAAAAAGAAGGAAAACTTGACAGAAATCCTATAACAACCCGGCTGGCCAGTGTGGTATTTATAGTATATAGTGTATATATGTAAGTTAGATTTATCTTAAACTAATATGTTTAATATAAATAAAATGAAATTCTCTGTTTTCTCTTGCACCTACCGCATCATTTTTCTACATCACCTGAAGGTCGACTGGCAGAGAATGCCCTAGGCATTAAGACTGGCTGTGTACAACTTGTGCATTAAGTTGTATAAATAAATATAGTAGGCCAATACCTCCTTTCTAAGGAGAGGCCTTTGCCCAGCAGTGGACTATTAAAGGCTATTGATGTGATATAACTTTTAGGGTTGTCGTTATTGTAACTAATTAATTAACCTTATTATTACAACACTATACATAAATTAAGAATTTTGTAGAATACATGGCAAAGGTACATTTTAGCGTGTCAACTCGCCAAAGTAAAAAACATCTGTGACGGGTCTGTAGCGCAGTAATAATTTACTTACAAGTAATAAATTATTTTTAACATACTTCCAAGATGGCTGTCTGGAAGTGGCCTCTAACATGTATTTGTAGACTTAAAAATGATTGCACTCTTTAACAATGTTAGGGTTGACCCTGCTTTTTTTCTTTTAACAATAAAATTAATAAGATGAGGTTCATAATGTATGTACATAAAACACTCACTTGTTACTCATTTCAGCTTTACAACCCTTGATATTTACAGCAGATCTATTGTTATAAAACAATCTTGATGACCTAAAAAATAAGTTTTAATAAAGGAGGCTACATACATCATTATTTTACTATTAAATAAATGTTTTTTTTTTGTTTCTAACGAACAACGTCTTCAGACTAATCTTATAATGTTATTATTCTTATAAATTAATTCACAAATAACTTATTTATTCATCAAATCTTATTTCAATCATAGTTTGAAAAGGACAACAAACTTTGAATCTCGAATTATTTTATTTATTACTTTATTATTTATTATATTGTAATTTATCACAACAATTGTTTGAATAAATTGGAAAAAGGCAATAATTGTTTGTGACGGCCGAGTGAGAAAAAAAAAACTATACCACAACTGCAGCATCCCGGTTTGTCATGTGTTTTAGGACATCACCAGAATAGTAACATCAAGTTTATGATTTTCATTAGAAAAAAATATATATATTTACCGCAATAAAATGAATAGCTGAGCACAAGTGTAGTACATATCACAGAAAAACGATAGAAGTACAAAACCGCTCAGTTGAGTATCTATTTCCTTCACCAGAAGCGCCAGCTTTGAGTAGTGTTCACGTAGTTCACTCCACGATATTGTACTCTAAAAATATATAATGAGCAGGTTGTATAAAGAAAATAAATTGTAATATCGTATTTAAGTTAGCCAGCAATGATGGCAAAATTTTAAGATGAACATAAAAGATATCATATCATAGGGCCAGCGCAGACCGAAAGAGCATCTCGGCGACGATTTTTTTAAGACACTCGTAATAAAACTTTAAAGCTATTGTTATAAACTGCATATACACGTTATGTCAATAAATTTAAAAATTTATTGCCGAGTGTTTTGAAAAGCGTCTCCGCTGCGCTCCTCTCAGACTGGCATAATAAAAAAACCCTAAAAATACTCAGAGATTTTTTTTTGGGTTTCCTCTATCTGGCAGAACCTTGTTTGCTACGAAATTTATTTCTCACTAGCTGAGACCCGCTTTGTTACCCGCGTTTGTTGTTATAACCGCGGCCAACGCCGCGGGGCGAAGCTAGTCTAAAAAAAGTAGCCTAAGTTACTCCTTATGTCATCAGCTATCTGCCAGTGAAAGTCCCGTCGAAATCGGTCTAGCCGTTCCAGAGATTACCCGGAACAGACAGACAGACAGACAAAAATTGAAAAAAATGTTATTTTGGCATATGTACTGTGTAAACATACATATGCATTTAGTAAAAAGCGGTTATTTTAATATTACAAACAGACACTCCAATTTTATTTATTTGTATAGATAACACACGGAATTTTCTTAATCGAATATTTTTAAGGCTTAAAAAATATTTCCTATAATTATTGTTTGGTCGAATGTTTGTATGTTCGAATTTAAAATGGCATAATTTTATTTAGCATAATTACCTTTGGCAGAGTTAAAATGCCACATCATTTCGTTTAGCATAACGTTTATTTAGAGCAACGATTATTTAGTACAATTTCCCTAGGAATAATTTTATTTTGGTAATTTGCCATTAAATAGAATTTATAACCTCAAATTCAAATGTTTTCTTAAATAGTCATATGTCTTGCTACAAAAGTTTGTAAGAGAAACGAATCGCTGAAAAACCGACTCTACGTAGTCTTGTCTGCCTAACCCTTTTTTTTTTTTTCCGTGCCTAAAATCCCCTCGGCTACTCGAACCGACTAAAACCGCACGCCTTCTCGGGTACTAATAGCCGGGGAACCAGGTATACCCTAGAAAGGAAGTCTGTCTGCCCCTACCCCTAGAGTGTAATTTAAGCCCGTGTAGGCGCGAAGTGGAGAGGCGAACCGCGAGCTGAGGAGGCGGTGGAGAGCATTAATTTGAATTGATGAGCTCGCGTGGGACCTCCAGAAAAAGATGATCCTCACTGTAAACTGCCTGAGTTATGATAATTCTGCCTTTTAATAACTATCGATAGGAAATTTACGCTCACACGAATTATCGCTCACGATTCTGACTATGAATTTTCAGCGATATGATGATTCTACTTTTTGATTATTATGGATATGAAGTTTATGCCTAAATATGGTTTTTTATTTTCATTTTTTTTTCAAAATCAGCATACAATGAGTACATTATTTTTTGATTGGCGATAATAATTATTATCGCCAATCAAAAAATCGATAGATCGATAGTACAGTAACATTAGATGATATTTTTTTTTTTTTATCGTAACTGTCAAAACAAAAGACGCGCGCAGCTACTGACTCTGCGTTCCGGGTAGAATTAGCGATATTAACGCTTTTATCGCACAGGGTGAATGCACTGCACTCCAAAAAAATATTGCAAATGTACCGATAATATGCATCATAACTAGATCTTAGGTAAAATATGCTATTATCGTTGAGAATGGCTTAAATAAGCAAAAGCATATGCAAATATGCAAATGCATATAATCCGGTCTCTAGTTATAACATAAGCTAACTGTAGGAAGATGCATTTTGCTTATAGACCATCATATCACATTTACTAGCTAGTAATCACATTAATCAGCACAATCAATGAGTATCTGTCTGTCTTACGAGTACGTTGCAAGTACTGAGATAAACGAAATTTTACTATACTCACGTCATTATTCTTAGAACGAATAATCTTGTTCAGGTTGTCAAAATACGAGCTTATATAAATGCTAAAGCAAATGGTCAAAACATCAATGTAACTCCTCATAAACGTTGTTTGGAAATTAAATATCTGAAAAAATATAGTATATAATTCAAATATATATTTTGAAATGTGTTTATCTTTATTCGTTTCGTTTTTTAAAAAGACAACTACAACAACGACAACTAGGAATATATCCTGTGTTGCGAGGGATTTTACAGACGTACATTCAACGGGCACAAAGAATCACACAAAGTGTTGTCCCATGTGGGGATCGCACCGACAACATCCCTGAACCACTTTAAACCACTACGCCTTCCGTGCAGTCAATTTTATAATCCTATTTTTAAAGTTGTAATTTTTACTTAATTAGTCTACTAGCTCTACCCTGCCATGCTTTGCTGCGGCATATTATGATTGCATTGACGAAAAACAAGGAACAAAGGAAAAATAGAAAAAATAATAATTTTTGAAACGGTTTGAATATCGTATGAAAATTTGAGTTCAATCTGTGCAGAACTTTTTGAGGTTTTGAAGCGTACATGAACATTTATATATATTTATATAGATAGACTGTATAAAACTACTACTACTAATATTCTAAATAAATATACAGCACTTAATTTAAGTTTTCTGATCCTATTAGACTTCATGGTAACAGCCACTTCGAGTTACAGGTATGCGAACCTGACCTGCTTGAGCAGTTGCTTACATTACATAGTCGTAATATAAGCAAAATATCCATATAAAATGGAAGAGCTATTTCAAGCGGAAAATTATACCCAATAGTTCCAGTTAGGTAGCTTGTTGTATTATAAGACATTAAACCATTTTTCTTGTGCTACGAAAAATAATTTTTAGAAGAATATTTTAATCTAAGCTTCATATCCATATCACTAAGAATACAGACTTTACATGTAAGCTCCAAAATACTTGCTGACACGTTCCCTTGAGTAGGCGTGATTAAATGTACCTTAAATGCCATATAGGACTATGGTTAGCCTACATTCAAAGCTATATTCAAATTCGTCTAGCGGTTTTTAAGTGAATCGCGCACAACAGACACACAGACATACTTAAAAATCATATTTTGACTTCTATTACATTACGAAAACACCCTGTGCTATTTCTTTAATGTATTTGTCATGTATAATATCACCTCTCTTACAGTTTTATTATATGTACACTTGTGTTTCATTTTTCAGTTATTGGTTTTTCTAACGGTCAGCAGTTTTTTCAAACTTTCTTTTGTTATTTTAAAAAAAGTTTGAAAATAAAATATTTTTGATTTAATTAATGTCGCCTGTAAAACAAGTATAAAATTATATGAAAAAAAAAACAAAAACAAACATTTTGTAGGTAACATTAGTAACATGTGGAACTGTCTTCATGGAACTAATGGGAATAAACCAAAATTTTGAAACGATATCCAAAACCGCTTCAAATAATTTTTTTCACATCAGTTTTGGTCCTTTTTTTAAAGAACTCCCGTTTTAAGAATATATCCTGTGTCGCGGGGAACTATACAAACAAACATGTAACGGACTCAAAGAACACCCAGACTCAGAACAACAATTTGTGGATCACACAAAGTGTCGTCTGTCCGGCGTGGCGACCGCATCCGTGCAGTCTAAACCTTATTTTCTTTTCAATGCGACTACAATTTGCCACAGTGAAGCATGGCAGGGTACAGTTAGTATTTAATAAAAATCACTGTATATACTTGAAGCATAATGATAATAACTTCACACGTCTCATACACGGCAGTCTGGTCCTGTATTACGCAAAGCCCGTACTATGGTAACTAGACTGCTGATAATCATAGTTATATAGTCTACATACATAGATAAAAGGTACGTGTGGTGACGGATTAAGGGTCCGTGTGGTGACGGATTAAGAATACAGAGTGTCACCACCCCTATTCATCCCGTGGGTGTCGTTAGAGCCGACTAAGGGAAAAAACTACGCAGAACAACAGCACTGCAGAGAGAAGGAAAATTTGACACAAACCCTATACCAACCTGTCTGGCCAGGGTGGTATAGTAAGCCAAAACCTCCTTTCTAAAGAGAGGCTTATATCTAACAGTGGACTGTTAAAGGCTGTTAATGTGATGTGATGATGAAGTAGATAAATTACACCCAGACACAGAATGAATGATCGTGTTGAACACATCACACAATAATTAGTGGGAATCGAACCCATGACTTATCTGTGTGACTTAAATGTGGTGTGGCTAGTATGTTTTTTATTATTTTTTCTATTTTTTATTTTTCACTTCATTTTCTCTTGTATTCGTTTGTTCTTCTTAATCTTGTTTTCTCTTCGTTGTTTTTTCACCTTAAGTCCTTAATAACGGACATACTAGCACACATCAAAACAATGTTGTGATATATTTAATAGTGCCATTGTATCTACTTGTGAATTGCAAAAGAGTGGCCATGAGTTTGTTTGCCCTTTCTTCTCATAAGGCTCTACCCCTTGGAAACGGGCGGTTGTAGATCGGCACAGGCATATCATAGATTTTGTATGGGTTTGATTTTTTTTAAATTTATTAAGTTACTATTTGACAAAACAGAGATTGTTGCTTTTGTGTGTGTTGATCTATGACTTTAGAGTCTACATGGAAGACGATTTCAAACAATTTTGAAAATTTTATGAAATAAAGAAAGTTTGAGTTTGAGTTTGAGTTATCATCATAATCCATAGCCATAGCCTCATGTCAAATAATAAATAAAATGTCATAAAAGCATATACTTACAATACCCAGAGCTGCCGTAAAAGTGCTGTAAGATATATAATTAAAAATGAAATACATTGTGAAATTGACGTACATCTGAACGTTTTCCTCGTTAAAATCAGTAAACCTAGTTTTAGACAAACATTCCATTGTTAACTTCAAGCTAAAGTTCATAAAGAGAATATGTGACACTGCAACAAAACCAAAATTAAATTAACACTAAATAAATCCTAGACTGCTCTTGTATGTACCTACGCAAAATCTGAAATTGACCATCGCCGCCCATGAACGTCTGTAACTCAGGAGTCACAAACGCGATGCCGGCCTTTTAAGAAGGAGTACGCTCTTTTCTTGAAGGTTTGAAGGACGTATCGGTACGGAAATACCGTAGAACAATAACCCGTTCCACAGATTGGTGGTGCGGGGTAAAAAATGTCTCTAAAAGGGCACAGTAGTGGAGTGGCATCTAATTCATCCTCAAAATTTTCATTATTCCGTATGAACAATGCCGGAAAGTTGCGGCTGGTATTAGTCCGAACAATTCCTAGGAGCACTCTCCATGATATATGGGATAGAGAATGCAGAGTGAACCCACATCTCTAGATGTTTAGGCTATCGATCATTCCAGCCGCTCTTTGTTGGATGCGATCCAGAGGGAGAAGCTGGTATTGAGGTGCCCCTGCATAGAGATGAGAACAGTATTCCATATGCGGCCGGACTTGCGCTTTATAGAGCTGAAGGCGGTGAGCCGGAGTGAAATACTGCCTCGATCTGTTCAGCACACCGAGCTTCTTCGAGGCCAATTTGACCTTACCCTTTAAGTGATACCGAAACTGGACTTCGCTCGATATGTCGATGCCTAGGATTCCGATGCTGGCTGAGGCAGTTAGAGATGTGCTGCTGTGACTTTAATCAAGGACGGAAACAATTAATAACTTATAATATAGTCGACTAATTAATGTTATTAATTCTTTACACACTTAAGAAATTTAATTTTACCAATAACTGCGTACCTAAAGATATTATTGCTATCCCGTATGCAAACACATTTGATTTCTTAATGGTGTTATTATCCAACTCCAATATAGTTAGGCTTCGCTCAGTTTCTTCAGCTGCTTTCATCAATGCAGGCCAACACTTAGCTAATCGTACTAGAGATATTGCCATAAGGAGATTCGTTAAATACATCATGACGTTAGCTGTAAGAAGTAAAAAAAGTAGCTAGATTCTAGATATTTTCAGAATTATATCATATTAATTTAAAAAATTATAATAACATAATTATAATGTAAAGTGTGGTGGCGGCCATCTTGGATTTACAATGACAGTTAATATATATATAACAGTTTTTTCATATACAATCGGTCAACAGGAATGTGGTGAAACATTTAATTACTAAGTTTGACCCAAACATATCAAGCTAAAAAAACAAATAATATATAATTATGGTAACGAATTACCTGACGTTTCGACCAGGACCTCAATTCTGTTATTTTATGTTTACGTACAAGCCACTGTTATTCTCTGTAATCTACTAACAAAAATTCACAATGTCAATGGACTGTGGATGTAGTGACAATGGCTCATCGATAGTGATATTAACAACATCGCTATGGAAAATTAAATATATCATTCAATTACAAAGTTAAAAGGTGCCGTTTACCAGACTACATATTACAGAGAACGGCAACGCGTTTGTGACTGAGTTGCAGACGTTCATAGGCGCGGATGGTCACTCGTCTGCCCCTTTATCATAAAAAAAGACATTGATGACATTTGTATCAGAGGCAATTCAGTGACAAGTCAACGGGAGACCATTAGTCTTACATAGTTAGTAGAATACGAAAAGCGCAAAATTATTTCGATGACATTCCGTCGATAGTCTACAATATTAAAATAGCAGCATTGAGGGCCTGGTTGCACTGGCTGTATTCACAGGGTGACTGACTCGAGTGGGAGGGACTCCAAGGGATGCAACGCACTTGTGACTTTTGAGTTGCAAGTGTCTATGGGCGGCGGTAGTATGCAATAGCTTACCATCAGGTGACCCATCTGCTCTGTTGCCCGCCTTATACCATTAAAAAAATGTACTTAATACCTATTGTAAGAGCCTTAATTCCCATAAACCTAATTATGTAACATAAAAATCGTTTAAAAAGATTTAAATAGAATTCATTGTTGAAAACGACAAGAAGCAGGACGCCGCATCAATGAATAGTTAAAATGTTAAAAAATTTAATAGCTTACTTACAAGCTGACAGCACTGTGACTTCATTGTTAAAAAAGAAATGGACACTAAAACAAAGCATTATTACTTGTCCCGTGAGAGTAAAAACATTGTAGATGCCGTAGAAACTCTTTGCTTTAAATCTGAAAATAAAATTTTAAAATTATTGTTTTTATAGATTTTCACATCTTGTATAGTGTAATGTATAGTGTTTCACTCCAGTAAAAGTACTTATTTTAATTTATTTTGTTGTTTGAATTGTTATTTAATATACCTATAGGTATATTTAAAATAGCTGAATGTATAATTAACAAGTCTCAGTATCACTCATATTATATTTCCTCTTATCAACCAATATTAGAACGATTACTTTTATAGCGTGATACAGGATCAGTATTTATTACGTAGTACGTCATGCTGTCGGTAGATAGAGACGTGTAGATTTTGCCGTACCACCTGAACAAGTGAACAATTGCTCTAGACACTAAGTAAGTAACTTTTTTATTTTCTTTCTTTTATGGAAGAGGGGGCAAACGAGCAGACGGGTGACCTGATGAAAAGCATAGTCACTTTCCATCAGGTGACCCGTCTGCCGACTACCGACGTACATGAGCTCCTGCAACTCTCTTTTCTTGAAGGTTTGAAGGTCGTATCGGTCAAAAAAGTTGTTCCACAGGTTGGTAGTGTGATGCAAAAAGTGTGTGCACTGCAGTGGAGCGCCACTTTTATCCATGGGGGGGATATACGCCAAAGTGATGGAGATGAAAATTTTGGAAATTTGGAACGATGACGGAAAACTTGCCGTCATCGTTCCAAATTTCCAAAATTTTGGCTGGTATTATACAAAAAATATTTTTTTCATTTAATAATGAATATAAATAAAGTGCATTTACTTAGTTCCATCAGCAGTAAGCTGGTAAAGCCCATGTACAGGAAAATAGCCGCTCCAACGGACAATCCTCATTGCATGACGCAAGCAAGCAAGTAGACTGCACGATTTCTTTACCCGGTTATCATTGACTTTCATGTTTGATGACCTGCTATAGAGATCATGTATTATTAAACAATTTTTAGGAACAATATTTTAACTTTTTTGTTGTTTTTATTTTCACTTTACGGAAGTTATTGTGTCAAGCATTATTAGGGTGAATTTTGGCAGAATATTACAAGTCTCATTACAAGAAATGTATTTAATAGAAATTACATTCGTTACCTAAAAGCTTTCTTATCGCTACTGAAATCTATAATATTATGATTTATTATCCTTAAAATAAAACAACAACTTCAATTTTATTATTCTGTCACGTAACATTATGTTTGTGATGCTGTTTATGTCAACTAAATGTTTACTTCGCTGTAAGTAACAACAGTATTCTTTGACGTTAAAATAACATGTAATATTTGAGGAGACCACTGATATTATTAAATGTTTGTGTTGCGTTATTATTTGATATATATGTTTTTTAATTCGTTGGCATTAACATTGTAGGTATTTATGAATGGATGGATAACATCTAAACAAATGAAGAAAATTGAAGTATCTATTTGTAATGTCAAAATAATAGGTTTTGTTCATGCTCACACGGTTATATGCACGATACCTACGCCTAAAAACCAGTTTAAATATTTTTTATCTGGCTGTTTTATTTTACTACCAGGTAGCTGTCTACATAAGAAGTAACCTAGGCTATTTTTCCTATCAGAAAAACCCTATAAAATTTTGCCCGTCCCGGGAATTAAACCCGAGACCTTATGGACTGCAATCGCGTACCGTACTACACCACTAAGGTAGCGCTTTTCAGATTCCATGTGAACGAAGTCGCGAGTAGCAGCTAGTTATGAATAAATCCGATTAAACATTTAATTTTTATTGATGCTACGGGCATCTTTTGATGACGGAATTTGCTTAGATGACACGATATAGCTAGTTTGAAAAGTTCTTAAGGGAATTTCTTTTTTTATCATCGTACAGCGATGCTTTGCCTCATGTTTCCTGACTCGACAGGAGTTATACCACGGCCTCACAGGAAACCGGTGTTCCGGCTCGAAGGGCCCAGTCGTACCCTATGTTCCACAGGAGGGGTCCAAGAACAGACCCCTGTGGAACACCGCACGTCATGGGCCGACACCTCGAATTACCTTCTCGGTCCTCGTACACGACGGTACGCTCCTCTAAATAGTCTGCCACTAGCCGCCTCAGGTACTTTGGCACCCCATGATAGTGGAGTGCTTCCCTGATGCAGCTGAATGGCAGACTATTGAATGCGTTGGCGATGTCCAATGACACCACCGGCTTCCTTAATAGGACCAGCTTCCCGCTCTTCTAGCACTCAGGGAAACGTCATGACGCCAAGCTAGCGTCGAACACCTCCCCGAGGCGGTCTGCCATGTGGTTGAGGGCAAGGGCCAGCACTCGGGCCGGTACCCCGTCTGGCCCAGGGGCGGTGTTCTTGGAACGGATCCGTAGAACAGCCGCCCCTACCTCCGAATCCCGGACGGGCGGAACATCATCCTCCTCGTGATCCCCGTCGTCTCCGGCCAAGGCGGCCATCGCCCGGGGAGTGTGTTCCGCTCGTTGCGGGAAAAGGCCCTCAACCACTTCTCGCAGGAAGCTGGGCTGGAGAGTCTCCGTAAGGGGGGGGCCCGACGCGCGGAGCTTTTGTCGCGCCGCGCGGTAAGGGCGACCCCAGGGGTCACGATCAAGACCCTCCAGCATCTCCTTTCTCTTTTCTTCCTTGGCGAAACAAACCCTTTTTTTTTTTTTTTTTTTTTTTTTTTTTTTTTTAACGTGTGGAAATCCCCTCGGACCGTCACCCCTCCGGGGTTTGCGGCGGGGTGGTGTGTCGGACTCGGACCGACTAAAACCACACGGTGTGCCACTCTGCGCCTGTAACAGGAGGGATCCGGGAACAGCTGTTGTTAAGACATCCGGACCCCTCCTAGCGCCAGCCCGCTCCTGGTGCGGGCTCCGTCTCGATGTTGATGTTCCTCTCTTTAGGCGACGTCCGGCACACGCGGACGCCGCCCCCTCGCGGCTGGCCAACTAATGCGGGTGGAGGGGAAACCCACCCCGTCCACCCGCGGCCACACTCAGGGCGGCATGAGGCTGTGGTAGGCGGGCCTCCGCCGCCCGGTTCGCCGGCGGCGGATCGGGTCCGAGTGGAGGTCGTCCTCCCGGGCCCTCTCCGCCGCCTCCTTCCGCGAGATTACTACCTCGCAGAAGGTTGCGACCGCGGTAAAACAACTGTCGCTACCGGCCATGGAGCGTACTACGGCCGGTAGCGAGAGATCCACTCCGATGACTGCAGTGAGGGCCCGGCGCTGCGCCGCCCATGCGGGGCAGACCGCCAGCGTGTGCTGGGCCGAGTCCTCACTGCAGTCGCAGTGGTGGCAGGCGGGACTCAGTTCCCTCCTAGCGACCGTGTGCAGGTACTTTCCGAAGCAACCGTGCCCGGAAAGCACCTGCGTCAGTCGGAAGGAAAGGGTCCCGTGCTGCCGCCCTGCCCACTCGGCGATGACCGGCTGGAGAGCCTCCACGGCGGCGAAGCCAGCGCGTGGAGTCTCCAGCCGGAACGACCAACGAGCCATCGTGGCTCGGCGAGCGGCTTCGCGCCACTCACGCACATCCTCGGGCGGAGGGCGAAATCCGCTCTCCGCCCGGTAGTCAGCCACTCGCCGATAAACTTCGGCGAGCACTTCCGCCTCCAAATCCCACGGGGGAGTTCCGGCCAACGCGCACGCCACATCCGTCGAAACGGTGCGGTAACCGCGTATGGCTCTGACCGCCATTACCCTCTGAGGGCGCCAGAGGCGTACCCTATTCTGGGCGGTCAGAGCCGCCGCCCACACCGGTGCACCGTACAGCGCCATTGACCGGACAACCCCCGTGTACAGCCGTCTTGTCGCGACGCTGGGTCCACCCATATTGGGCAAAAGTCGCCCTAGGGCAGACGCAGCGCCGACCAGCTTTGGAGCAAGCTGTCGGAAGTGCTCGTCGAAGAGCCACCTCCCGTCGAGGATCAGGCCCAGATATTTCATCTGGGCCCGAACCGGTACGAGGACCGAGTTGACCACTATTGAGGCGCCAGGGGGTGGACCACGACGGGGCCCATGGAATAACAGGGCCTCCGTCTTATCTAGGGCCACCCGTAAGCCCAGCGCCTCAATGCGCCCGACCACCAGGGAGACTCCCCCTGTGGCCAGGCGCGCCGCCTCTTGGAAGTTTGCCCCCCGGGCTGTCACGAGGGTATCGTCTGCGTAACAGATTACACCCAGCCCGGGGGGGAAATCGGCGCGAAGGGCCCAGTCGTACCCTATGTTCCACAAGAGGGGTCCAAGAACAGACCCCTGTGGAACACCGCACGACATGGGCCGACACCTCAGATTACCTTCTCGGTCCTCGTACACGACGGTACGCTCCTCTAAATAGTCTGCCACCAGCCGCCTCAGGTACTTTGGCACCCCATGATAGTGGAGTGCTTCCCTGATGCAGCTGAATGGCAGACTATTGAATGCGTTGGCGATGTCCAATGACACCGCCAACAGCACGCCGCCACAGCTCACGGCCTCTTCGGTCACGGCCCTCAGGCGCAACACAGCGTCGACTGTCGAACGCCCCGCCCGAAAACCAAATTGGGCGTCCGACAGATCGGGGCCCACCTCGCAGAGGTGCCGGACGATGCGGGCAGAAAGAACCCTCTCAAACAATTTGCCCGCCTCGTCCAGCAGCACGATGGGCCTATAGGCCGCGACCGAATCGGCAGGCCGTCCCGGCTTCGTCAATAGGACCAGCTTCCCGCTCTTCCAGCACTCAGGGAAGCGTCCCGACGCCAAGCTAGCGTCGAACACCTCCCCGAGGCGGTCTGCCATGTGGTTGAGGGCCAGGGCCAGCACTCGGGCCGGTACCCCGTCTGGCCCAGGGGCGGTGTTCTTGGAACGGATCCGTAGAACAGCCGCCCCTACCTCCGATTCCCGGACGGGCGGAACATTGTCCTCCCCGTGCTCCCCGTCGTCTCCGGCCAGGGAGGCCATCGACGGGGGAGTGTGTTCCGCCCGTTGTGGGAAAAGGCCCTCAACCACTTCTCGCAGGAAGCTGGGCTGGAGAGTCTCCGTAAGGGGGGGGCCCGACGCGCGGAGCTTTTGTCGCACCGCGCGGTAAGGGCGACCCCAGGGGTCACGATTAAGACCCTCCAGCATCTCCTGTCTTTTTTCCTCTTTGGCGCGGCTAATGGCCAGCTTCAGAGTTTTCCGCGCCCATCGGTACTCCTCATGAAGCCGGTCCTCCTCACCGTCTCCACGGTGACGCCGCCGACTGCGCGTGTAGGACCTCCGGGCACGTGTACAGGCCGCACGGAGGTCCGCCAGCTCCTGGGACCACCAGTAGACCTCCTTCCTTGGAGGCCGACGACCTCGAACGCGGGGCATGGCCGCATCGCATACATGCGTAATCGCATCGCGAAAGCGGCCAGCCCCCACGTCGACCTCCTCGGTCGGAGCCTGAGGAGACAGCCACGAGTGAATTATGGCTGCCTCCTCTAGTAGGTCCCGGTTCAGCCTGGCAACAGCCCACCGCGGAAAGCGGGATAAACGCCGCGCCACGTGACCCCTACTGGAGTCCTGGGTCCGGGAGAGCTCAAATCGGATATACAGGTGATCCGAGAGCGTCTCAACCTCTTCCAGGACACGCCAGTTCCTTACTCGTGCGGCGAGGGCAGGGGTAGCGAACGAGAGGTCCACTATCGACCCCCCCTGCTGTCGCACGCACGTGTTGGTGGAGCCTCTGTTTAGAAGACAGAGGCCCACCGAGGCCGCCCACTCCTCTACGGCCTCGCCCCTGGCGTCCGTCCTGGGGGAACCCCACGCAATAGACTTTGCGTTGAAGTCCCCCAGCACAAGGACGTGCCCAGACGCTAGTCGCCGTATCGAGGTCTCCAAGCTGATTAGGAAAACCTCGAAGTCGTTCAAACTCCGGTTGGGGGAGAAATAGACACCATATATGGTGATCCCCCCCCACTCGACGGCAACATA